AAATAACGATTGGACTGTTCGATCGAATGCGAGTGTTGAGTCATAAATACGTATTCATTCACGACGTGCCGGCCAGTAGACTCCACGGATTCATGGTTTCTTTATTCATGTATGCTAATTGCGGTACAGATTACGCCGGCCGGTCACGAGATTCGGTGGATATCACGCGCCCAAGTAAGCTAATCGAGTGCGACAGTCAATATCAATCGCTCCAGCTGCTAACGTACATATGTACATGCGCGCGTATAAATAACACTCTTATATATGTACGTATTCAAAAGATTATGTACTTATTACATTTATTACGTAAGTAATATGAAAGTTATTTTAAGACAGTAACAAGATAATATTTAATGTATGCGTGTCCGTATTTTCTCTTTTTCTCTTTCTCTACAAAAATAAAATATCTCTTATTTTTACATATTTTTCACGTAATGTCGAAATGTTAGAAATAATAATTGCTTTTAGGTAGCCATATAAAAATATGGCAAAAAGACGCGTTTCTCTTTCTATCTCCGCAAATAATCTTTTTTTGAATAGACGTATTAAAAAACTCAATAAATTAATTTGTTATTCAGTTCAAATTATCGCTTCTATTATAACACAAAGAAACAAAATTGTTGGATAAACAGGAAACTATTCGCGAGATATACAAATCGACTATAATCAAACGTACGTAATATCTCGACGTCGATTTCGAACGAGATCTCTTTGTCGCGCTGAACGCAAAGACTTAAACGCACGTAGAGGTTACACCGTAGCTGGTTTTCACAGCGCCGATAATATCAGCTGCGTCGTACGCGCCGTCCGCCATGGCGTTCCTCGCCTTCGGCGATTAGTCACGTTTCGATTTCGTGGGACGATCGACCGCCGCACAAAATGGGCCGCCTGCTTCCACAACGCGCGTTTCAAACACCCGTTTATAACTACGACCCGCGCTGTGCTCTCGCATAAATTTATATTTCAAACGGGTTCAGATTTTCTTCGTTTGTCGAGAACACGATAAATAAATTTGTGTTTCGTCATTATAATTATTTGCTTAAGACTTGTTCGCACACAATCTCGAACATTTCTCTGCCAAACTGTTAAACTAAAGTTTATATTTTTAAATGACACAGCACATCGACAGTTATATAGTGAATGACTTATGAACCGAGTAATATCAGCGTCGATTAAATGATAACATTTACGTTTCGCTTATCTGAAGCAATTACATTATCAGTCAGCTGTCAAGCGAGCGTCTCTAATTGCGTGTCTGTTGTTTGCGATCGTGTATATCTACAAAATTTCACACGTTGTTGAAAAATAATCATTTTTCGAATGGTTCTAAAAGTTTTTTTTTTTTTAACACAGAAGCTAAACGCAAGGTGTGTGTGTGTGTGTAATACTACTATACTACTGTAAATTATCATATCGATCATCGAGTGTTGCAATATATCCGATCGATTCTCGAGTTATCGCTTCACCATCGAATGTAATGCGCGCGAGATTACATTAAGTGAACGCAATTTTGCTAAAGTAGAACTCGGACTGAATGAGAGATTATGGACGTGCGCGGCCTTCTGTCGCGTTATCGACCGCTTAATCACCACCAGGCGCACCTATCAACGATAAAACCGCGGGGACTGCGCGACTCCGTATATTCCTCCGACGATGCGATAAAATGCGACCTTTCGCTGCCGATGAAAACAAAAAAAAAACCCAAAAAATCGCATTAACATCGATCCCAAAAGCGCAGCGCGACCGCGCTTCGACGAATGCGTTCGCTCAACAAATATCCATCGACCGAAAACAAGAGTCGCTTTGTGTTCATTATCTGCATCTGAAGATGTTTAATAAGTGAAAGCGTATTCTCTCTCGTTGAACGCGTGAGAGATTTCTATTGAAATTGCTTCTTTTGTAAATTCCGAGTTTTCATTTCTTTAACTTCGTTTTTTTTAAAAAAAAAACTTCGACGTCTGTGTTGTCGATACCATCGATTTCTAACGGGTCGCAGAAATCGTCGCCGCGACACAACGCGCGAACAAAGTTAATTTGGTATCATCGCGTCATCGCGTTCCGCGAAAAAAAAGAGAATTCACGAGCGGACGCCGCGAGTCTCCGGCGAGCAATTCGCGCGATAACGGTTACGACTCGTTCGGGACAAACATCGATCGGACGAGAGGGCAACGACGACACGCGGATGCGAAGCGAGACGTACTACCGCCACGCCATCGATCAAACCGCAGCCAGTGCGCTTCTCCCGCGTTAAGCTGGATCCACAACTAAGCAGAAATGTGCACGGTTCACGCACGGTTCATGGATTATGCATTGCTTACACGGATTCTATGACAGTTCATGTAGAATTTAGAGAGAGAGAGAGAGAGAGAGAGACACACAGAGAAACTATTGTTGCTTAGATAGATAACCGATACAAATGATAACAAATAGTTGCTCGCAAACTCGTCAAGAAACTTGGATTTCGTTAAAAAGCGAAATTAATCGGTGTTATTTATTTCTCTTTTAGAGCGTATTACGTAAATTATTTATTCTTTAGACTTCTTTTTTTATTATAACGTTTAAATGTAAACTCGCGATTCTTTTATTCTAATCTCAATTAAGTAACAATTCAGTAAGAGACCGAGTTTCGTATAATTACCAGAAAGCCTTGAGCGAGCACGCGAATTAGACGTTCTCGGAGAACCTTCTCTCAATTTTTCCTTCCGACCGTACTGTTTGTCGAGAAAAATGCGAGGATACGAGAAAGAAAGAAAGAACGGGACCCCATCTTCTTGACCGTCGTCGTCATCATCGTCGTAAGAAGTGCCCTAGCGACTCGCGAAACGGTGCGCATCTCTCTTGCCACCCGATTTAGGTCGTTAACGGTAAAATGCCGCGAGGAAGCCTTTCGCGAAACCGAGACAGATCCGTTACCGATGGCGGCTCTCGATTTTGCCGTTTTAACTCGCTCGCCGAGGAGCGAGCCGGTGCATCAATCACGCGAGAATTGCGACGACTCTGTCTTTTTTCTGCCGATAATTCGCCCAACTTTGCAGGGACGCGGATCTACGTAGAAAAAAAAAAAAACAAAAAACTACCAAAGCTCGTTTTAAAGTTCCACTATTAAGAGCACGTAAAGCAATCGTAATTAACAGTTACTTTCCATGTGATTAGATATCGCAAACGAATTTCAGGATTCTCTTTTCTCTGACGGTTTAAAAAAAAAGTACATTCGCGGACTTTCAGTTCGTTTCACCTCGCGTCGATAATATTCGATAAAAAGAATTTGGCAAGACTGGAGTAATCTGCATTATGTACCGCAGTGTGTCGTATTATATTCAAGAGTTTAACCCTTTGCCCTTCAGACTATTTCAGATTCGCGCTGCATCAGGTGCATGATAGTTCGGTAATTGTCGAGTTTCCGTAAAAGAGTTTTGTGCCGCACGTTACGTCGGAGTACAGAAGTACGTCCGCGTTGCGTAAAAGCGTTAATCGAAGTCGATATTCCAATGACGTTACGCGTTTCTCTACGACAATTATGCGGATTACTCCAACGGAGGGATCCGAGATTGTTTTTTTTTTTTTTTTTACGTCGCAATACGCGGAACAAAAAAAAGAGCTAAGAAACATATATTTCCGAGCTTGGCGCGGAACTCGATCGCCGATCGCTAACAAACGCGTTTCTCGCGCGACACGTCTAATTACTCGCCGCTTCTGCGCGCACTACTTGCTCGAGGACGACGAGAGAGCTTCCTCGAAGGACGCGTAAAACAATACGTCGCGATATCAACGAAATTACTCGACGTCACTTGACTGCCTCGCGGCAGTTTTAGAATCACTTTTATTAAATATCGCTTAATGCAAATTGCAGTTAAAAAATTCGTATCCATCTCATTTCCATAAAGAATTAAATTGAAGCTTCAGCTTGAAGCGGAAGAACATACACAGCGCGCGAGGATAAAAGTGAACTAACATAAATTTGCTTCTACCGTTTAACTCCGGTTGTCGAAGAAAGTCAACTTATCGAAAATTGTTGTCTCCTTTCAGATACGTATGTATACATATATATATATATATATATATATACACACACACACACACACACACAATAAATAACATATAATGATTCAGAAAAAAAGGATAAAAAGATAAACAAAGTTAAATGTCGTCAGTCAAAATCTCCGAGGCATGCGAAAGAAAGGAGGAGAGAGAAACGAAAATAATGTCCTGCGCGCTTTTCTTTTTCTCGGAAAACACACGAGTACTTTTCGTTCACGTGCACTGCCGTATGAATCCATAATGGAACGGCCGAATGCATGCGCTACGAGGGAAATGCAAACATACATATTTCACTCGTGGTGCGTGCATACGTTCGTTCGTTCCTTCACGTCTTCATATAGCATAATGCACATGGGCGACAAATATTCATTTGTTTTGCTTTGAAGAAAATGTATTGCATATATTGTTGTTTTTCTCTTTCCTCGATCGAAAGTGCTTAAGCGCTTTAAAGAGACGAAAAATTTATTTACAATCACGACATTTAAAGTCGGGATATTTTTCCACGTCTTAATTTTCCGAGTTTGTTATTTCACTTTCTGTAATTTAACGGTTTTTTTTTTATTTTTATTTTTTTTTTTTTACAAAGCTTCTATGTTTACTCTCTCGTTTTTGAAGTAACGCGTAACAAAACGTTACGATAATGATATACATACACATCGTCTCATGAAACTTTCATCGTTGCAAATAAAAGAGACTACAAAATTACCGTTACCGCTATTACGAGAAACGGTCACTGATATCGTTGTACTTTAACGGAAACATCGTGTCATTCCTCGTGTATCACTAATCAACGCGTGCGCGCGCGCGCGCGCGTGTACGTGTGTACGTGCACACATCGATAAAATAATTTTTTCGCACCAACTCTCTGCGAAATACACGAGACACGTGAAACGATGATGCCGTCAAAAGCGAGCGAGAAGTAAGAGAGAAAAAATTATCACTGTGCAAAAAAAAAAACTCACTTTGTTCAGCAGAACTCGTAGCGGCACACTCGTCGGTGGGTTCTCTCTTCCCACTCTCCTTGCTTCCGCGAGGTCGTCGGGCCGTTTACTCCTGCAACGCACAAACGCGCCGTGTCACCTTCCGCGATTTCACGAGGGCTCGTTGTCGGGCATCGCCGGACGGACGACCGCTGGCTCCGCTCTCTCTTTCTCTCTCTCTTTCTCTCTTTCTCACTCACTCTGCGAGAGACTCTCCACACGCCGGCCGATGAAAACCGAAAAGGGAACGTCGGGTCGAATCGCGTCGCGTCGTGTCACGTCTCGCGCGCGTTGCGTCGTCCGGTCGCGCGAAACACACAGAGCGGAGTCTCTTTTTCTTTCTCCCTCTTCTCTTCCCCCTATTTCCGAACGTCGCTATTTCGCGAACAACTTCATGCTCCTCGCGTTTCCTCACGCTAGATACGCTCCGACGAGACACCGTTACGCGTGCGACCGACTGACGCGGGGGCGAGGAGAAGGAACGTGTCTCATACAACGTACATATTCTTCGTATAATTCTTCAATGTATGTGTCACGAACGTTGTCGCACGAGCGGCGATTGTTTGTCACACGGTGGCGGCGACGGCAGGATTGGCTCGCTAAGTTCACGCGTCACAAAGAAGGAAGACCTTTGAGGGGCGATCTTCGGCTCCGCGCCACGGGTAATACGAGACTCGCGCGCGACTGATTACGAATCTCCAAGAGAGAGAGAAAGAGAGTGTGAGAAAGAAAGAGAGAAAACGGGGAGTCCCACTTTATGTGCACTGTCTTCACACTCCTCTCTTCTCTCTTTCTCTTATTGCGTCCGGTCACTCTCTCGTCCGGTTGTCCCGGTAAGACAACGTATATCACGCGGCGTTTTCAATATACGAACGAAAAGATAACGAATTACACATAAAAAATAATATCGATGCGTGTTGTGGTCTCTCTCTACCTTTGTTTTTTGTTATCTTTGTCTTCGCGCGTCGCGGAATCTCGCGCTCACATTCGACGCACTACTGCAGTAAATAGATACTCACACGACACGTCCGGTGTCTTTGTTCACGTTCTTCCGTCTGCACGCGACGCCCGTTTTTATTTTACTTAGTCGCTACTTCGTCGCGTTCCGATCCGGAAAAAAAAAAAATCACCCGGAGAGATTCACCGCGCACGGATGACAGATCTCTCTCTTCTCTCTATCGTCTGACACGTCCGAACGTCGCGGGCGCCGATGGCGGAGTGAACCGGTGGCGCCGCAATCACTGATACTGGCGCCCTCTGGAACCTAGACGGCCGTTCAACGGTGCACGGTCCCCGCGGTATGTGCGCGCGCGCGGGCGTGCTTACGTCGGTATCACACTGACGCGGTAACGCGCGCGAGCGCTCTTCGGAGAACCGAAATATACCACGAAACCGGAATATACACGCACTTAGCGGCACACTGACGCGCGCTAACGTCGTATGTATATATGCATGTATATATTACTCACACGCGCGCGCGCCGAAAAGCCGCGCGGGGTACGGATCGTACGACAGCTACACACTCCGCCGAATCTATAATGGATATTCGCACCGACGGATCCCCCCCTTTCTCTCTCTCTCTCTCTCTCTCTCTCTCGCTTCACCCTGGTCCACCCTCGTCCTTTTCCCTTACCACTCATGTAACGGGTGCCCACCAATACACATTGACGGCGCGAATCGCGGCAGCGCCCGTCGTCATCGTTGCCGCGGCGGCCGTGTGTCTTTACAACACGCGATCGAGAGAAAGGGGGGAGAGATTGGGAAGGACCGCGTCGGTGTGTTGCCCGTTGTGTGTCACGACGTTTGCTAAAAGTTTCGCCGTGGAGCAATATTCCGATCGGTTTCGACGTTATTCCGCTCGCGTCGCGTCTCGTCGCGTCGCGTTGCGCTCGCGGAAATAGAGTACGCTCGGAAAAAAAAAAAAAAAAAAAAAACATTTGGTTCGCCGAAGCGTGCATTGAGTTATTTACGTTTCGCATTGAAACAACGCGGGAGTAGATCAACGTGAACACTACGCGCGCCGCGTCCAATAAAATCGATCTGTGTTTAAACGTGTAAGTCGATTCTTTTTGTGTGTTCACGTACTCGACAAACAAACATTAGTAGAAATGTGGATTTCGATTAATTGAATATATCTCGTCTGTTCCGTTAGAGAGCTCGACATTTTGTGCGCGCGCGCGGAGGTGTGCGTGGTAAGGTCAAAATTTAAGTCAATTTTAACATTACGATGTATTCGATCATTCGATTTTTTTACGAAACATAAATATTGATATTCTCAAATGCACGTAGAAACAAATAATACGCGTGTATATATACCTGGCGATGACTGCGCTAATTGCACGGTTGTTTTGCAGTGATGCTAATGTGAAACATGGCGACGCCGCCAATTCTGAGCGTCGGGGATAAGACTGGCGAAATCGCGAATACACTTTTCCGAGACGAGATTCGACACTTTATCACCGCACACGTTTGAACACTTCACATCACGCGTTTGCGATAAATTTTCGCGCAAAATTTCACTTTTGTACGGGATCAGCGATAGAATAAACGACGGAGCGAAACGAGATCGCGATCCCGAACTGCGATCCGTCGCGACGCGTTCCGTTTACTGGCCGCGATTCAAAATCGATCGAAGCGCGCGATAATTGCGGTTCACAAAATTTCAAAATGGTCGATCTAGCCGGCCAATTGCGATGCGCGGTAATTAAATTCTGCGCGCTCTAGCTGCACTACCTGCTCTCAACAACGGAACAAACGCGTACTAAGAAGTGCAGTAACGATCGCGAATGATACGATCGGACGGGGCGATGTGTGTATTTTACGAGATCGTTTCGGTGTCGCGGATTATATTGCATTGCTTCGAAACGAGCAAAAGTTTTATCGCGACGAACTGATGCGCGGAAAAAAGCAAAAGCAATGTTATAGAATCACAAGAACTACAATTCGCCGAATCCATCTGTAAGCATTAGAGCTCTCTTACTCGTTTTCTCGTTAGTACAAATATATCCTCGAGAGGAGAAGTCGAGCTTCTCTACGGCGTATTTCGGTGACCTGTAAGGTAAGTGGTCTATTTCTACGAGCGCGCGCGGCGGATATCCCCGGCTCGCGCGATAAGGTCGATACAGCTACCTCGTTACTTTCTCGTCGTAATCGTAATAAAACCCTTCGCCGATGGCGAACTCTGCTCCTCCGTAACTACGTTAATTGGCCTACGAATAGCTTGCGTCGGGCCGCATGACCCGACCACGTAACGGGTGTCTTCCTTTGGTCCCCGCGATGGCTCACCGCGAACGTCGTGACGGATACTCGTTAAATATTTATTGCTATTAATTAAGCGAGCGAGCAGTGCCGTAAGCCGGCGACAGAATACCCGAATTACATTCGCCTCTCTCGCAGACAATATTTTCTCTATGTCTTCGAACTTGTGCGTGCGTGCATGCGTGCGTGCGTATGTGTGTGTATATATGTATGTATGTACAGGTTTACTTGTGTCTACAATTAGTATTTTTATTCTTCATTACGTGAGAATAACAAAGATATTATTACAGTTTGTCGGTGTGTTTCCGAGCTTCGGACGGGAATCCGAAGATAAAAAGAAAATCGGAAAGGCGGCGGGACGTGCGCGGGAATCGAGCCGTTTCCACACCGAGGAAAACTCATTACTTCGTCAGAAGCGCCTTCTCGCATTTGTCGTACGCGTCGACTCGAAGGAAAAGAGAATCCGGGCCGTTTCCCATCCGGAGAAAGAAAGCTGCAGCTCTCGTACAACTGCACGGCTCGCGAACCGCACGGTGCGTATAAAAGAAAAGAAGGATCGGGAGCACGGAGCGAGGGGACACGAGGGGGAACAAGAGAGAGACACAGAGAGAGAGAGAGAGAGAGAGAAAGAACGAATGACGCTTTGCGAGAGGATTGGAGACGCGAGGACGATGCCGAGCTCGGAGTGAAAAGGGGGAGAAGGTGGAACACGAGGGGAATAGGCAGCGCGGCGGAAGAGCGGCGAAGGAGAAGGGAAAAAAAAGGCTCGTCGTCGTCGTCCGAGTGAATGTGATACGCGGCGGAGATCGTACGCAATGTCCGGCCGTGTTGTATTGCTATCTAGCTTAACTCATGAAAGCCTAACGAACGTCGGTTTTCTCTATCTTCTCGTGTACCGGTCGCGTGAATTTTTTTACGGCGGTTGTGTCTCCGGGAAAACACCTGCCGCGAGCGACGACTGGGAGAAGTAAGTACGCGCTGCTCTGCGGTCGAGCACCGGTCGTTTTTCCGCTGCGAGCTCGACGCGACCCAATTGGCATAGCGAAAGATACACGGCGAAAATCGCTCGGTTGCGAAAAAAGAAAAACAGGAGATTACAGCGTCTAGAACGTCTTTTTTCTTCACACCGGTGTAAAACATCAACCTGTTCGTCGTTCACGTTCAACGTGGTTACGTTTAACAATTCAAAAGAAAGTCTTTGTTTATCTTTTTATTTTTATCTGAAATACTCACGGAGCTTATACTTTTCGCATTTAGTACAAGAAGAAGGACGCGTATTCCCATAGAAACACTTCTTGCACCACCTATATAGGTTGTCGGCTCTCTTTTCACCGGGTAGATGTGTGAATTTCCTGTGTGTCGCGCGATCGCCGCGGAAACATCTGCGAGATATCCGCCAGAACGTTGTGCTTCACGCTCGCTATAACTCACGTCCTTTGTCAGGAATCCTATACTGTAGCGAGCGGTGAATATCCGTAGCTAATTTACCGTGTTTGTGCGCGCATGATTACGTCACGTATTTCATAAGTGGGGGAAAATGGAAATGACGATCTGTGTTCGCGCACACGCAACGAAGAGTTTAAAGATCTAAAATTCTTCTCAAATAATTCCAAAATAATCTCTCGGTGAACAAATTTTGCTCGATCTACTTCTGCGCGCTGATGAATTTTCAAAGGAACTATTGCGCGCGTGTGTGTGTGTGTACGTGTGTGGCGTATCGCAAGGCATTCGTCATGTATATTATAGTCATCCTACATTTTCTACATAAAAATGTTTAAATTTTGTTTTGCCAACGCAGAAATGAATTATCTGCGTAACTCAGTTATCTTCTGAGATAAACGTTAATCATGTTCATTAGCCGGCAGCGCGTCGAGAGAGTAAGCTGTTGCGAGAAAGCGCGGGCGATAGATTCAAAGACATTCTCCTTCATCGATCATGATCGCGATATCGGCGGCTCCTTAACCGCACGGGATGCCATTTCTTTTTCTTCTCGCCAATCGCGCGAAGCGTTCTTGCGATTGTCGTAAAAGTTACAGCCACATAAGCGCTATCCTCTGTTCACCTTGCAACAAACATTTTAAATAATAAAGAGATTATTCCGAGCAATACTTCCGTTTCGATACAAAATGTAACGCATCAATATCTTCCTTTCAATGTTATTGCATATTTATTTACAACATGCCGATATCGCAATATCCTACTTGCAGCTCACGCGCGAAGCAGACTAATGCGATGCGCGTGAAGTAGAAATGTATAATCCACAGTATTTTCGCCGGCCGGATTCGTGCCGGCCCGCTTAATCGTGAATAATCTGTTTCGTGAAAATAGAAACGTCTACCGTCTCTCGGTTCAACCTAGCGAAGTGAATTTTCTTCTCTCGAGTTCTCCAAGGCGCGCGGTGTAACGTCTACTTTATCTACGCTTTACGAAATGTGTACGCGACACGCAGGAACAGCTGCGATTTTTTACGTTTTCTAATATAAACGGGACGACCGACGGCGACGACCGACGCTGAGTGTGTACGTGTGTGTATATAAGGTCGCGATGAAAATTGGGCAGCGGCTGCCAGCCCCGCGCCGCGAGATGAATTCGCATCGGCCACGCTGGCAATTGCGATATTACTAAATACGTCGCTGCGAAAATCATACATCATAATTTGCAGCAAAATTGTGCAGTTGGCATGAAGGGCGTTTCGCGAGAAATACAACGGCTGAACAGCGAAAACACAACTTTATACGACGCGCAGAGAATTTTATTTCGCTTACGTCGTCAAAGCTGTTTGATAATTTTTGCACAATTTCTATCAGCGTAAAAACGTCACGCGTGTTACATACATTTCAGCGAGTTCAATCTCCGTAGAAGCCGAGAGATCCGTTTCTGCGAAGCTTAATTTTCGTTCGTACGGACGACACGACGAACACGTTTCTCCTTCGGTACTCGTTCGTCTGCGTCGAGATCCTCGAAATAACGCGCGAGTCTTCCTCCTCCCCAACCTCCTAGTCATTCCCTCGAGGAAATACGTATCGACGTGTACGACCGTTAGGGTGTCCCAACGCAAACACCGCGCCGCTCCCTTTCTTCGTCTCTCACGTACATATACACGACGGCCTGATTTCCAACCGGCGCGTTCGATGAACGAAAGAGAGACGGAAGCGAACGATACGGCGCGGCGCATTCTCGTGATTCACAGCGGCGCGCAAAACGATTTTCGAGAGGTGAAGCGTAACGTTGGTCGGCGTATGGATCGAGCTTTAGAGGCGGCCGCGCGCGCGGATCTCTTTGTGTTACGCGAGGGCCGGAGGGCCGTCTTCTTCCTTCTCCTCCGGACGGCCTCTGATACCCGCGTTCCCTTTCCGACCGTCCCGACCCCTCATCGCCACAGCGATTCTGCCTTCTCTTCCTCCGCCTCGCCGTGGCGCGCCGTTCTGTCCTCACAGCAAGTCATCTCGTTTAGGTCTCGTGTTGGCGGCAGCGGTGATGGTGAGGAGGGCCCCTCGAAAAGGGGACTGGGTGATACCGAGGGCGAGAGCGAGGGGAAAGGGCCAAGGCGAGCCAAGGAACGAGCATAGAGAGGAGCTGCGAGAGAAGGCGACAGGGTCGAGGCAGAGTAGCTGCGGGACAGAAGGATATATGGCTCTGTATTATGTACTTGGACCCGCACGTTACATACACCTTCGTCGTCCACATGGGGAACGAGAGAGAGCAGGTGTATACTCGAGAAAGTGTGAGTATGTACATGTTACGTGTGTGCGTGCAAGAGAGACGCGACCTGCCAAGTGTTGAGAATCTCTCTTTCTCTCTATACGCGTGTATGTGCGAAGGTTCACTTCGCACGCAAGCGAAGCTTTAACCAGCTCGAATCGAAGATGCGGCGAACCTGAAATCACGCGAGCCGCGTAAAAATGATCTTCGTGGTCGTACGACGACGAGGCTGTCTCAGATTCTCGCTGTGAGAATTCGCCGCTGTGGAACGAATAAACGAAGAAGAAATTCCGTCGGATATTTTCTTGATGATGAACGTTTTCGGAATGATACTCGCGGTGTTATATAATATCTTTGCCAAAAAAATACATACGTTTACGTTGAAAATCGAAATATTAAGCATGATATTGACCTCTGAAGAGTAAATTTCAGAGTAGAAAGCGAGAACAGAATAGAACACAAAAATTTGAAAAATTTTGTTTCATTCAATATTATGCATTAACATATTTTTTTTTTTGCTTTGCCACTTGCAAGGACAGTTGTATTATTGATTAGTTTGAAAGTTATTATTATTGCTTATACATAAAATTACTGTAAGAGACAAGCATGCACATACACGTACAGACATACGCAATGTATATGTGTTATTTTGAATCTGTGAATGAACCTAATTAATTATTATATTTTATAAAAGCGAGCAGAATAACAAAGCTTGTTTCACAAAAGCATATAACGAGCATATGTATAATAAGATAATTATTTTTTATGATGTAGTATATTCTGAAATATTTCGGAAATAGTTGATAACTACTCATAAAATATATCACTTCTGTTGTAAAATAGATACTCGATTCTTGTAAAAGGAAAGAGAGAGAGAGAGAGAGAGAGAGAGAGAGAGAGAGAGAGAGAGAGAGAGAGAGAGAGAGAGAGAGAGAGAAAGAGAAGGATTTATATATACAGCATACATACATTATTATATACATATACAGAAATGGAAAAAACATTTATAATAGTAACAAAATTTTACACATTTACGAAAACTTATAGCGATTTCGGCTGGTCTGCACCGGTGTGCCACCTGTGTAGAGTTGGTGCAATTGTGTGCAACACCGCATCGGTGTGTGTACTGATTACACTAACTGGCTCCGACTAATTTGTGAGAGCCACTTTGTGTACACCCAACATGCACCTATGCGGTGTACTGAGCTCAGACGAATACGCGAAACCAGCAAAGAACTGCTGCCATTCGACCAGCCGAACACACAATTTGCACCGACACCCGAAATGTGCAGTCGGTGCAAACCAGCCGAAATCGCTATTAGTATAGAAAATATTATTGCAATTTATTGTTTTCTAAGTTATCTTCTATTGTTAACAAACAAAGTAATAATGAAATAAACGTATTCGCCATCAGAGAGCGCTTTAGATTGTGGTTCACATACCGTTCCTTTAACCAGAGAGAAGACTAAGAGCGGCCAAGGCCATATGAAAAAGAGTACTAACTTTTCCGCCCTGTAAACCAGCGCTATGTCTATGAGTGGTGTACATTGGCAACTACAGCAAACGTCCACAAACGACTTGTCGGTGCGTGCGCTATGTCTAACAATAAACGTGGTTCTATTTCGCGCTATGTCTATAGCGTGTGGGTCTATTCTGTTCCCATTCTGAACAGTTGAGTTCTCAGTCTTCTCTCTGCTTTAACTATATAACTATGAACTGGTAGTTAGTATTTTTATACATATCTGAGAAACGTTCGTAATTGAATAAACAAAATTAGAAGATTACTTAAAAAATAAAACTATGTCTATTTTTTTATCTTTGCTAAAACAATTATCAGTAAAACGGAATGTAATGAAAGTTATCAGCGCCTTCGTCGTCTAATTGACGATAAAGGGAAATATAAAAGTAAGACAGCGATAAATAGTACGGCGACGCGTGCAAAGCAAAAAATATATAAAGTCGTACGTATCCTAATCATCATATATAAATGTAAGTTATGAAATATATATTACAAAAAAATTATATAGTATTAAAAATCTCGAAAAATAAACTATATATATGTGCATATTATAATTATACTACACGAGAGAACCAGCTTATAACGCTCTCTGATGGTAAATACGTTCATTTTGTTATATTGTTTTACTAATCATAGCAATGGATAATAATCCCTCAGAATCTTTTAGGTCGGTATTTTCGACTCTTATGATAAGTCAAAGATATATATATATATATATATATATATATATATAATGTATATATTTTATTAATGTAAATTAGTTTTGTAATTAATATTTAAAAATTGATTTTTTTACAATTGAATCTCACATTCAGATCATCTTAAGTTCATCTTCGGATGCTCTGTAGCTAAGCTTTTATCCTATAAAACGAGTTTTATGTAATAAAATACGTATGTATGCTGATTTCATTGGCTGAGCATCTTAACTTAAGACAATATATATATAAATATAAAGATCTTTATAAATATAAAGATAAACTATAACTCACCAGTTATATATAATCCGTTCTTATATGTAAAATTGTTTTAAGTTTATATATATTGAGATGCTCAGTCAATGAAATGAGCATGTTATACAAAATATTTAGTCAATAAAACCAGCATATATATAAGATTACAAATTTTATTGCATACACATTTTATCTACATCTTAAGACAATTAAAAATATAAAAATAAACTATAACGTTATACATATAATGTTGTACAAAATATTCAGTCAATAAAAACATATATAAAGTATATATATA